TCATTATATGTAACTTTTTTAAAAGTCAGTTAATGTAAGTGAAACAAGATCCTGGTACTTATTTTTTTTTTTAAACATAAAATGTGTATATCATTTCAGAGATTTCTGCATATTTTGGACCTGGCTCATCCGTGATTTACAATTTTCAAGAAAATTATTCCTTAAGTAAAAACTCCAGCTCCCACGCTGCTTCCTTTCATGGTGATATGAAGCTGAGCAGAGAAATGATCAAATTTAGCTTCCGAACAACACGAACACCAAGCTTACTGCTTTATGTGAGCTCCTTTTATAAGGAATACCTTTCAGTTACCATTGCCAAAAATGGTGAGTGCTTTTTAGATGAGAGACAGAAAATTGAGTTACAGCATTAGATCAGTAATAATACGGATCATTCTTGTATTCTTTTGTCTCAAACTACAAACAGGGGGGAAAAAGTGTGCCTGTTTTTTGTATTCAATTTTGTTTTTTCAGTACTATGCTATTCATTTAATCTAAAAGGATTATTTAAAGTAATTAAGGTGCCTTTATCACTTTATAACTTGGATACTTTTACATAACCATGAGAATTTTAATTTATTTACAGAAAATATTTGTCATATTTTTATTATTGCTAGAAGCTCTTTACTATTCCATATGAATATCAGTATCGGTGTCGTGGTTCATTTTGAAATAAGATGCCTCTGTGTACATAGCAAATATTTTCTTTAAATCAAATCAGAGAAGTTTTGAAGAAATGTTAACAAGCTAGTATTATGTATAAGACAATGTCCACAAAATAATCTGTCGGTTCTAATTATAGGCAATAAAATAGTCATGGGAAATGCTGGTACATCGATGCAGGGTAATGGTGTATGGATTAGGCCATGTTGTGTGCTACAGAAACATTTTCACAGAAACCCACTTACTGTTTCTCTTCCCTATAACCGGATTAAAGATACAATTTTATAAATAAATTCTCTGCATGAGGAAAACAAACAAATTTACAAACATTTGAATATATCATTTCAACTAAATCAAAAGTGGCCAAAGGGCACTGATAAAATAAAAATAATGTTGCTTAATAAGTATATTTATCCTCACTGTAATCATTTTGAGCTTGAAGCTTATCTGCACACTGGGGCATTTTCGTTGTTAAACTGGAAGATATTCTGTGAAGTATATTAGTCGACATTTTTTTTAAACAAGTTTTTCTTTTTAATTGGGGAACAGTGTGTTTTTCCAGGACTCATCAGCTCCAAGTCAAGTAGTTGTTTCAATTTAGTTGTGAAAGGTGTGAGGATTGAACCGGCAACCTTGGCGTTATGAGCACTGCTCGCTAACCAACTGTGCTCTAACCAACTGAGCTAACTGGCCGTCCTAGTTGATGTCTTTGCAAGCAATTGAGTAGTACTAATTATAATAGTAAATTTGGCTTAAAATCATCTGTCGAGAGCTGGCTCGACAACCGGGGCACCGAACGGTCCCTGAGCAGGATTGCTTGACGTGAGGAATAGAGAAAGAAAAGAGATGGCACAGACACCAAAATTGGGATTAGGAGGGACACTTTGCCGCTGATGGTGGAGGGTGCCACTGTTTATTGGGTAACATTGGTTATATAGAAAGCAGCTTCCTTATTTGCAGGGAAACTTCCCTAGCTACGCACAGAGATTTTGGTAGGGGGTTTTAGGAGGGGGCTTTAGGTGTAGGCATACAGAAACCAGGGTCTAGGGCTGGGGATTTTGGGAGGTCTGAAATCCCCTAAGCAATGAGTCCATGGTGAAACTGTAAACAAGCCTTAAGGTAGGCTCTGCGGTAAGCTTGCTGTGGGAATGGGTACTTTTGGGAGTGTCCAAGCCTTGCGTATGCAGTTACTAAGCAGACTCTCTTATCCAGCTGCTCCCTCAGGCATAGGGTCCTGCATAGAGGCATGTAGCAGTTTGCCACAGCCTCAGTATCCCAGTTGTCCTCAATTGGCTCCCAACAATCATCCATTTTACCCTAATTTCATTCCAAAATTTATGACCACGACTACTTGACCAAATATTTCTCATCTTTAGTCAAACTACATTTGCTTGTAATAATTTCACTAATCAATTGCATTTCAGAAGTGGTATATATATTTTTTAAAAGATGAGATTATACAAACAATGTTATTTCAATATTCCACAGTAGTTTGTCATTTCATAATATACCAAGTCTTATTTTTTTTAAGTCAGAGGCTAGTACAGAGATTTGCCTTTGCTTAATTA